CAGCCTCTAGAGGTGGATTTACCCCACAAAGCGAATATTTGCACTGTATCAAAAACTGAAATAATTACCATTGCAGGGTTAAGGAACCTGGGACACTGCACCCAGACCACTTCAATGAGCTGAAGTGGTCTGGGTGCCTATAGTGTCCATTTAACCTTAGTGACTCTGCATAGACTGTGTCCCTTTTTTCAGTTTACATTTTAAAGCAATGTTTCTTTCAAATGAACATTCCGGACACTTAAAGCCTTCCGATTGCTGTATTTTTTGTATGTATAGTTTATGAAAATTGCAGATATTAATAGAAATAGTCACTTTTATAATTGGGGACATAAATACCTCATTGGAGTGTGTCTGGCTTTCCCCTCCTCAATGTGTTTAAAACTCATGGAGAAGTACAGGGAAACAGAAAGTTCGTGGTTCAAGCACTGAGAACCTCGATGAAAAGCCTCTGGTTTAAAATTTTCCCCTTCACGTTTTAAAGTCTGGGTTGGCAAAATAGGGGATGGTCTGCAAAGGCTCCAGACAGGAAGTCAGCAGCTTTTGCAAACTGGTTTCTACATAACCCAAAAGAACACAAGATGAAAAACAAGACGAAAATGCATGTTTTCTTTGGGGTGTATCTACTAAATAGCTAAAATATAAAAAAAGAGAAGTCGGGCCAGAACTGAAATCATTTAGGTTTTCCAAAATGATGTTTGACATATCAGAAGATTGGATAGCAGTCACAAATAAAACTGGTAAATACATTGTTAAGGCAAATTTAAGATGAGGATGAAGAGCAGCAAGGAATAGGTTGGTTGAGATATGAAGGTAAAGTGTTTTGTGAGGTCCCTAATGAGAGCAGAGGTGACTATCTCAATCCAATCTATTCCCAGGCCAAGGATCAAACAGCAAGCTATGGATCAACACGTATTCTTTATTGAAAGAAGAATTAGGGCAGGCTGCCAGTGTAATGTACACGGTGCATACATGCTGATAAGATAGCTGAAGGATGCAGGGAACCTGAGGTTACAGGGGAGCCATCACATTCCTGACTATTCACCTTTTCATGAAGATCATAGAAGTCGCTGTAGCGATGCTTTATCCTCCAATGGTAAATCCCAACATAAACTTCAATGATGTAAACCTGAAAATACAGGAACAAGAACTTACATTGGCTCTCAGTATTCCATCCAGATATAATCTTTACTAATGCGCATGCGGACTGTGAACTCAATACAGATACAGAGTAGGGTAAAGCTCCCAGTCAGTTTGTCACCAAACTCTCCTTCCACAGCACCCTGAGGCCAATGGACCCAACCGGAGGAGATGTCACTTTCTGAGGTCCCTGCAAAATGAACAAAGATCCTACACAGTGACAGTCAGAGCAATGGCAGCAGACAGAGCAATGACAGCACAGAGCTAGGGCGGCAGACAGAGCCATGGCAGCAGGACAGAGCTATGGCAGCGGCACAGAGCTATGGCAGCACAGACAGCTATGGCAGCACAGCCAGCTATGGCAGCACAGAGCCATGGCAGCACAGACAGCTATGGCGGCACAGACAGCTATGGCGGCACAGACAGCTATGGCGGCACAGACAGCTATGGCGGCACAGAGCTATGGCGGCACAGAGCTATGGCGGCACAGAGCTATGGCAGCAGGACATGGCTATGGCGGCACAGACAGCGCTATGGCAGCACAGACAGCGCTATGGCAGCACAGACAGCGCTATGGCAGCACAGACAGCGCTATGGCAGCACAGACAGCGCTATGGCAGCACAGACAGCTATGGCAGCACAGACAGAGCTATGGCAGCACAGACAGCTATGGCAGCACAGACAGCTATGGCAGCAGACAGAGCTATGGCAGCAGACAGAGCTATGGCAGCAGACAGAGCTATGGCAGCACAGAGCTATGGCAGCACAGAGCAATGGCAACACAGAGCTATGGCAGCACAGAGCTATGGCAGCACAGACAGCTATGGCAGCACAGACAGCTATGGCAGCACAGACAGCTATGGCAGCACAGACAGCTATGGCAGCACAGACAGCTATGGCAACACAGACAGCTATGGCAGCACAGACAGCTATGGCAGCACAGACAGCTATGGCA